GTATTGCCGGAAAAGGATGGGATGAAGTTGAAGTGGTTCAAAATTGATTGGCTGGCATTCCATCCGGTGCTCAAGTTGCCTGTGGATCCTTATCCATTGCTAGTCCCTCATAATCCACGGACCGCGGTAAGGTTAGGTTCCAGTTTTGTTGGCGTGCCTCTCGGTCCGTACTTTAGTGGTAGCGGCTTAGGTCACTAAGTGACCTGCACATGTGCTCTACTGTACTACTTTGTACTGAGTCCCAGCGGTTTTCAACTCATGAAATCAGTTGCAAGCCACTACTCCCACATGGACTATCATGGATCTATCGCTCTGATACTTTGATTGGAAGTAATACACCAAGATCTCTTGAAAATCCTGTTTGTGTGTTGAGGGTGTATGCCTGTGAGGAGAGGCACTCCCGTCATGTAAATATAAGTATAACAGTATTTACTTATTGTCCTAGTAGAAGTGCTGCTGCTGCATGAAGCCCACTAACGGGTACAAAGTAAATACAAGTAATTTGTGTCCTGAGCTGGGTTTCCAGTTGGAGAACGATCGGGCCCTAGTGGGAATGCACCGGGACCACCACCCGCCCTAGACTAGGGAGTAGGTATAGTGTAGTACCTAACTTACTATACTCCCCTCGTAGACTGACTGCTAGCCGTCTGTTAGTCAGTTCCGCAGTCTCCTCCCCCTTATCCATCCTTCCCGTAGCAAACGCCAACCTGAATTACAATTTCTGATGTACTGGCACTAATGGGTAGCTGCACGAATTTTCTGTGTCTCCTCCCCGCCCCTTTCTCCGGCAATCATGCAATCATTGAAACTCCATAGCCCTGGTGCTCTCTCCACCGAACTTGTCCCCGGCGCGGTAACATCTAGACTTTGAATTTGACCCGACGAACTCCTTCGCCGATTGCTGCATGTATTGCGGCGGCGGCGGCGGGAGTCCAGATCCATCCATCCCACTCGTAGCACGGAGACAACGGAATGACTTGCTCAACCACTAACTGGAACTCATCGTCTGGAAAATTTCCAGTCTGTAATCTCAATGGGTCAAACATCTCTGTACTATCGAATCGCATCTATCGAGCTCTGTCGAGATCTCCACCCTCGCTTTTTTTTTGCATTACCCCCGTTTAGAGGTCTGAATAACTTGTACCAGATCTCGCCGTTCCAAGCTGGAACGTTCGTGATGAACCAGAAGGAATGTCTGCCTTGGTCTATGAAGGGGAAAACGAGAATGACATTTGTTCCATAGCCGGGGAAACAACGAGAGTCAAAAAGAAAGGGAAAAATGTGTTTCATAAGATCAACCTAAACGGGTATGAAAAAAAAGGAATCTCTAGGCCCTAAAAACCCGATACACTGTTACCTCGTCGCCCAGGCCCCATTTCACACTCTACGGCGGCTTTCTTCTAACGTCGGTGGCAAACTAGCCTGTCGGCTGGCGGTCCTTTTCAAAGAAGACGCCCCAAGGGTGGGGGGGGAATAAAAGGATGGTAAATTGAGACACAAGAGAAGGGAGGCGGGGAGAGGGAAAGGAGGGAGCGGATAGAGCAAAAGCGCAAAGCGGGAAGAAATACCTTCTTTCCTTTTCGGCACAAACGATCGACCTCACACTCGAACCCGATTGTGACCATGCTCCATGCCGACATTATAAAGGCAAATGTTACTCGACTCACTACTCATCTGCGAGCATATACCCATAATTACGCAAAGATCATCGCGCTCATCGATCCGGCAACGCCGCAATTCTATTATAATCATCATTATTATCATTATCATCATAATCTTGATTTTCTCCTCATTGACCTTACTCCGAGGTCATGGCTTATGCTCACCGGATTGGGTCACTGTGTAGATCACCTTCACTATGGAGATATAAAAACTGCCTGCAGCTGTCAATCCCTTGTGGTTCAGTGCCACGCATACGCCTCGGGTTGGGGACCCATTCAAAGCCCTGACCAATGCGTGTAGAGCGCACTCCTGATTTGCCACCTTCATGGAACGACGCTCCTCGATCGATGAAGTGACCCCCTTGGGTGGGTTCAATTGCTCATGGAATCCCGGAAATAGAGCGAGCCCTTCTTCAAGCTGTCATGAGGGAGGGAAAAAATCCCATCGAATTATCTGACTGGGTCAGGGACATAACAGCGGTACCCAATCACGAACAGTTGGAGAAGCCATCGATGCTATTGATGCCAAACTCATCCCAGCCACTACGTACCTGGCTGATCCTAGACTATCTATTCTTGTCCTCCAACAACCCACGGAACGTCGGATGTGGCTGATTCGGTTCTGACATCTTGATCTTTTATGATGGCTTGGAAGATTATTGAACGAGTTGTCTCCCAACTCTCGGACGGCCTGCGACCCCAAGCCTGGCGGTGTCCGAACCCTCCATTCTGTTCTCCCGCTTTCGCGATTCTTCTTTTTGGTTCCTTGATACATATTTTTTCCTATATTCGATCGACGTTTGCCGCAGCGCTATACAATTCGGTATCGATCATTCTTCGCAAGAGACGGTGCGAAAAGGGCGCAGACAGACAGGCAGGCAGGCAGGCAAGAAACAGCCCAGCCTGTAAACTGCATCCGTAAATACAAAAGGGATTGGATCTTGCTGCTCATGTTTTCTCTCATTTGAATTCTGTAAGTCACGGAATCGGTGACACTGGCTTCTTCCACTCCTTCAACACCGCTGTCCACTGAGGGATAAGAAGCAACATCTCGTGTCAGTCAAACCTGCCATGCACAGTATTAGGATCGAGCTTGTCGATCCTCTGTGAGAGCTGATTGGGCATCGCGCATGAATTGCTAAAACGTTGAAGCAAGGCCCGATCCGAATCGAAGCACCCGATTTTAAGCTGTGGATATCCCCCTTAGACTGGAGGCAGCCACAGCCACCAAATCCCAAGAGGGAAGGGCGAGAAGGGAACATCCCGTTCACTCACTCACTTACTCACCTCACTTAAAGAGAAGACTGACCGAGTGGAGGGCGAGAGCAGTCCGGCTCATCGGTCCCCTCTTGTCGTTGTCGCGGCCCCCGGGGGCGCACCCTAAGGCAGAGGGAGAGAAAAGACCCTCGCCGCTATATACACAGGCCCCCGTCCTTTGCTTCATTTCCGTTCGGAATAGCCCTCTGTGCATTACCCACCTGCCCCGTGCAGGAGTTGCCCTTCCGAGCTCTGACGGTCAGAAGATCCGTTAGATTGCCTAGGGCTCTGCTAACCTGGTTGGCTTGAAGGCCATTCCTTCTCCATACCTAGTCTCCGCTTCGGTCTTTGGGCTACACTGTGTCTACACAAGGGCTCTTCTTGATGATCGTGATTATTTCTTCCGTTCACCGACACCGAGCCTGCCAACTGTTCAATGGCAAGTACCGTCGTTCCTCTTCTTATTACTGTCCAATATCAGACAATCCAGTGCTTGACACCGGAAGATACACTTTTTTTATCGTTTCTTCACCCTGTTAGCTGTACACACCCTTTCGGCTTCCCACCTTTCCTTCCCCCTCACTATTCTCCACCAAGAGTACGTTCACTTGACTCCTGCTGTTGTCTTTACTCTTTATCTCGGGGCTCGGTTTGCTGGAGGTTTTAAGCGGATGATCTCCAGATGTGAATTGTTTTATTTCTGGATTCTTTCCTTCCCCTCCTTCTTTAGTGTTGGGCTGCTTCCCTTTCCCCGTCCTTTGGTCGCCCCCCATCTAATCGCTTTTTCAATTGAAATCCCCTTTCCCGCTTCCCAATCAAGACCGGCGGCATTTGCGCGTCAGCCAGTCAATCTTGATGAGCCTCAAACCATCCGCCGCTTCTTCCACCTTTTGAGTTACGACCCGTTCCAGCTCCAGTTCTAGCTGGAGCTTGGGGGATGGAATGACCTTAACAAAGATGACCTTGGTGGCTGCGGTCCTGAACATATTTGTGGGCCACCACATATTCTACTTTCTTTGATCTTCGTATCTTCGTGGGAAGCAACGAATCTTCCACTTTGGCATGATACAAGGTAGTCACTAGCTACGGGCTGGTGCCCTCTGCCTGTCCAGTGTCCACAGCAACCTTCACCCACCCCCCCCCCTCCCCCCCAGGGCAGAGATGTGGCCGACTCTACTGAATGTGGGAGGCCAACATCTTGCAAGTGCCTACCGTCTACTCGCCTTAGCCCTTTTTTCCTCCCTTTATGGTCGTTCACCAATACCCCATTTTCTATTCTCCCTACTTCCGCCTATGAGATGGCCTCAATCTTGCAGGTTCCTCAAACCCTACCTGACCCATCTCTTACTACTTTCACCTCGACGCTTAGTCTGTTCTCCACCTACTTGTGAGGCAGGTCTGAGATTCGTGCATGACTTTTGACAATGTGGCTCTGTGGCTCCTTGTCGTTCGGCCAACAGCTGGAGTGTCCTCTTTCAGGGTACTACAACGATTTACGCCCATGTGGCAGATCGGGCCACCCTTATTCTTCCGCAAAAAATCTGTCGGCGTCCAAGTATTCGGAGTAACTTACATTTTTTTCTTTTCCATCTCCCCCCTCCTCTCAATTTCCTCACTGAGCCCGGCATCAAATGCCTATTATTGGCACAAATTTTTGGTGTGTGTGTCTGTGTGTGCGTGCGTGCGTGGGCTAGATCTATTCCTTTCAACATTGTGTTATGGTAACCTTCCCACTAACCACTACACTAATGTGCATGCCCTTTTTCTAAGCCAGAGTTAGAGATTTCCTAGCTTGGTATTCATTGAAAGTTGTTCTGTTGTTGCGCGGATAGTTACATATGTCCGTCTGTTTCCTCCTTGCTACCCAACTCATCTGTGACTCCCAGAAGTTTACGCGTCTGAAGATTTGTGTATGTCAAGACTCGTTTTAAAAATTCTAACCGGCGTTATTGACACAGAAAAGCCGTTTGTCGGTCATCAAGCAACCCTTGAGCCAGCCCGTAAGACCTGTTGGTAGCTTACAGGTCCTGGGGAAGGTATGTGACAGATTGCCCTTATGCCTTTACCGACCATCCCTCTCTAATGCATAGAGATCATACTCAGACAGTGAGACTTGCCGTTCCAGTGGTCATTCTCAGCCTGTATTATTCTACCATGCCTAACTCAAGTGATCGCGCCCCAACGGCCCAGCCAAATGCCACACTGGAAGTCGCAGATGGCACTAAACCACCGGCATCTTCGGGAAAAGGCAACGAAGCAGAAATTGCTTATCGACCACCGGGTAAGTCTTTCTCAAGTTCTGTCGTCCACTTTTTCTTAATGAGTCAGAAGGGTAAAGAGCAAGGATGTGAAAACGGACAGAGCAAACAGCAAGAATTGGATCCTCTTAGGATTTTTGATTGACCTCCTCGTCAGATTCAACCCGCTTCAGCCAGGCTGCTCAGACTGATAATGGACATCCGTATTCTGATGGGCATGCCTACGCATCCTTCTGTGCACCCGGGAATTTACACTCGGATTCGAATATAAGTGGTTCGAGATCAGTTCTACCAGCTTACCAACTTCACCCTATTCTTTACGAGCAACATCCTATGCAACAACAATTCATCCCCACTGTCCTTCCTCACGGCGTTGTTTACCCTATACATGCATTGTCATCCTATGCTCCAGCGACAATGAACGCGAACATGGCATTCGGTGCCCCGTTCCCATTTTATGCGCCGTATGTTCAGCAGCACCAGCAGCAGGACCCGCATGTCCAACATAGCACTCCCGGGTACCAGCCGTTGGCACCTAACTCGTCAAGCCACCTAAACGTCCGTACCCCCAGTCAGGCACCGTATTCCCAGGAATATTATTCGCAGACCTCGAGCGCGACGGCACCTAAACCTAGTCCCGCGCCGTCAAGTATGTCGGATTCCAATCACCGGCCACTGCGCGGTCATATTGTCAAGACGGCCACCGATCTGGGTAGGGGAAGCAGACAGACACACAGCAGCACGGACTATGATGTCGCGAAAACAATAGTGGATGGTTCCACGCCTATGCGTTCCCATCACTCCTCGACCGGTAGGTTGGCAGCAACACTCCATGCCAGACTAAACCGAATCAAGTGAGTATAGCGGGGGCTAATCCTAGCAGATGCAGCCTCGCATTCGTCCCAGTCGCCCGGGCCAAACACGTTGCGTGGACCTTTAAGGAAGCCCAAGCAGTCGGGCCATGCTTTGTGGGTTGGCAATCTGCCTCCCGCAACCAATATTATGGACTTAAAAGATCACTTCTCCCAGGAGGCTACGAAGGAGCTGGTAAGCGTCTTTCTTATCTCCAAGAGTAATTGTGCCTTTATCAATTACAAAACGGCCGCTGCGTGCGCTGCTGCTCTGTCAAGATTCAATGATTCTAGGTTCCATGGCGCACGCCTTGTTTGCCGACTGCGACACGGAACCATACTAGCCAGCTCGAGTCACGAAGCCATAGGGTCTGCTACACCCTCGCCATCTCAAGACCAGAGCGATAGCAAGCAATTGATGATTGGCGATGATACGGAATCAGTTGCATTCCGGAAATTCGGAGATACCAGACGCTCAAGTGCCCGGATGACGAGCAGATACTTTGTTGTCAAGAGCTTGACCGTGGAGGATTTGGAACACAGTCGACAAACCAACATCTGGGCTACACAAACTCACAATGAGGATCAATTGAATCAAGCCTACGAGGTGAGAACATTACCAAACCAAGGGAGAGAGTGGGGGCAAGAATATCCCCAAATCGATATTTGTCTGATGATCTTGATTAGAACGCAGATGATGTTTACCTGATCTTCTCTGCTAATAAGTCTGGTGAATACTACGGATACGCTCGTATGATGTCACCCATACAGGACGATGAGCGCTTGGCAATAGAGGCACAACCGCGACCCAATAGCATGCCGAATCTAGAAGAACCAGACATTACTCCTACACCAGCAACGTCGACTGCCGCCAAGGGACGAGTCATCAATGACTCTATACGGGGGACTATATTCTGGGAGGCGGAGTCTTCCGAGGATGAGGGCGACATGAAAGCCGACAGCGCAGGTACACAGACGGAGGATACCATTGGGCCGAGCCCACAGTTGATCGGAAAACCATTCAGGATACGATGGCTATCGGGAACCCGGGTTCCATTCCACCGTACCAGGGGATTACGGAATCCGTGGAATGCGAATCGAGAAGTCAAGATAGCCCGTGATGGAACCGAGATCGAACCGGGGGTGGGATGGAAACTCGTACAGTTATTTCATTCTGATGCCCAAGAGTGAGGGAGTGGATCGATTGTCGAAGTGTCAGCGGACAGAAAGAGTATAACAGAGTTGAATAATGGAAGAATAAATATACAAGTGAGCGGATCAGATTATGCCCGGAAGAATGAGTCAAAGCATCGCAGGCACGCAGGCACGCAGGCACGCAGGCACGCAGGCGAAACGAAAGCTGATAGGGGACTGCTTCATTACGGGAACCGGAAAGCGGTCCTTCACACCTCTGTTGTACACCACGCCCACTTCTCGAGTCCGAATATATCGACATTGTAGAGGGAGAAGGGTCTTTTACTGTAGGTGGTTGTTTGTAAATTTATCAGTATCACAGTGATCAATCGCTCTCGGATCTCCCAGGGATAGATAGATATATCTCAGCATGTGGATGATTGTACAGTAATACTCAGCTGGTCAGTACTTTTACATCATGGATAGTAACCATGGATGCACTAAACCAATGATGAATCATCGACCCCAGTCAACTGGTGTAGATTAGTAGACGGAAAGGGCTAGACCGCTTTTCTATTTTGTGGGGTAAGAAGCAAACCAAGCAACCTGCAGTCAGTCAGTAGTACGTACTTCCGTAACTTAACTACCTAAGGACTAGTCAAGGTATGTGGGATTAACTACACCGTAACTGCTCCGTACCGTACACACGTAAGTAGGAGGTAGTTAACTATTCCATTCATCCATCCATCTTCCTATCTGATATTTTCCCACCGCTCTTGACTTTCTCCCTCTCCATCCTTCCTATCCTTCCTAATCCATCACCCTTTCTTCCCTATCATCTCTATCATTCTTTCATCCATCTCCATCATCCCAAATCTCCATTTCATCGCCATTGCATCGATTTAACCTTATTCTCCTTCCTTACCCTCTCCCTACTATTAAACTTTAGGACCTCACAACCTCGCTATCCCTTCTTCTGCCCCCTTCTCTCTCCTCTTATCTCACCATCCCACCTCTTGCCTGTTCGGAACATTCGCAGACTGTTTCTCGGCCGGGCTTCGCTTGGACCGGTGAGTTGAACAATTGGTCTCAACGCTTTACTTCTGCCCCTATCGTGCAACCTTCCATTACCCCTTGGTCAAGCCCATGCCATCCCATCTCATGAACCCAACCGTCCCCCCCCATCATGACACCTCATCTGGCGTCGCCACCGCCACTCGTCGAGTCTCAATGATCTTTGGATGATCTTCAAAATCAGCATAACGTGCCGGTGGGTCAACTGATGTATGCTGATTTGCTCCAGTTCTCTTCCTACATTCTCCTCGTGTGGTCGTGAGGCTGTTCAGCCCAGCGCGGTACCTAGAGCGGTTCCCAGCCTGAGTCAAGCTATATCGTCCACAGCAAGTTACCACCTGAGCCAGGGCTTCTGCTGAAGTTAGGAAACCTTACAACGCACCGTGCTTCTCCGTCTAAGGCGTTGCACGTTCTCATCCCTTTCGCCCTCCCCCCTTCTCACTTTACGATATCTTCTTCGAATGGTTTCCCATCACTTTGATCTATGTGATTAAGATATAATTCTCGCTATCTCCTTATTGATCAATTCACGCGCGTCTTGGCATCATGTCAAATGAACGTTCAACCGACCCTATCTCGGTCCCATCTTCTTCTGCGCACCGACGCCGAGCATCCTTGGCCTCAGGCCTCTCCTTTACGGATTATCTATCTAGGTCCGGCAGCCAGGGACATTCTGCGGGCGCACCCACGGGCTCTATGGCTAGTTCAGTGGGTAATGCACCACCCAGTCAAGGTCGGCGACTGTCTATCACCACCTTGGGGCTCGCTGGATCTCCGAACCAATCGTCACCATGGGGAAGCAAAAGCATGCGGCATGGCAGCATTTCCAGCTCAGTTGGATCCGGTTCGGCAAATCTAGAAGACGCTGTCGTTGAAGACAGTGAGAGTGGCGGACCATCTAGCGCCGCTCCTCACTCTCCATTCGCGCGACGTCTTTCTTTTGGCGCGCAAGCGCTACGAGATGCTCGTGCTGGCAGCATCAGCAACGGTAGATATCCCCCCCCCTGGGATTCCTGCGTCTAGCAGGCGACGTTTACCGCCCACATGTAGCAAAAGCTCCCATAGCCCCCCAGAGTCAACTGTTGCAAGTACAAATGTTGTTCTTCCCGAGGTCGAGATGTCTAACGTGGCTTGGAGACAAATAGGCGAAGGCTTCAACTGGTCTGAAGCCCTGCGAACCCGGGCCGAGCGTGCCCCATCCTTGGGAATAACCTCGCCCAACACGCCTCAAACCCAGTTCTTAAGCGGCTCAGGCCAGCAATGTCACCATCAGCGGGCAACCTCGATCGCTTCGATGGAGCAACCGGCTCGCGAAATTCCCAAGCAACCCAAACAGAATAAGCCTGACTTTTTTCAGGAGAAGATTCTTCGCGGCGATTTCATGGATTAGTGGGACCAGTCTACTGCACACTTCAATTCGAGCCTGCTACTGCCCCCCAATTGTAGTCAAAGTTTGTTGTCTTCAGAGCAGAGGCTCGTGGTTTGTTGATCTGTTTTGCCCTACCATGGACTTCTAGGAGAAGCTCATCATCAGAAATGAGGAGATATCGAGGAGATTGTAGAGCCGATTTACGAAGCAGGCTGGCGGCATATATAGCCAGAGAAACCTTGAAAATGTGTATGTTCCATATAAAAGGCAGTTAGGAAATTTCGATCATGTTTCAGTTTCCCTCTTGTATCCCTCCATGTCATGACTTGTGTAAACTGAATCTATTAAGAATTTATTCGTTCGATTGAACCGCTCGTCGACACTCTTGGCCTCCTTAACTTTGGTCAATGGGAGTTGCTGGCAGGAGAAAGGCTTCTGTTTTGGGCTTGTGTTTCGAGGGCAGTTCTGACTGGCATATTCAGTGTCCTATCCTGCCGTTCTTCCCTATTTCCAGGCCACTTTTCCTTATCAATGATCTACAGAGGGCAATCACGCTTTTCGTTCCTAATGCGGGTGAGTCTATATTCACAGTGTATCACAAGACTGAACTGAATGGAGATTATTTGAGTCTTTAAAACTATAGTTGCCCTTGGTTACACGCTGATGTACTGTACAAAATGGATCAATTCTTGAGACACTGTCGATAGAGGTGGAGTATAAATTCATCTGACATGTTTCCAGAAATCCAGTACATGCTGAGAGCTGACTAGTTTGGTTCAATAGGGAATGCCGTTGGTTAACAATTGAAACTGATCATATCCCTTCGTCGACACGCTCATGTACGACTTGCGCACAAGCTCACGCATGTGATCAGCTGCCTCCCTCTCATTCTTCTCAAGTACAAATCGGTCTCGAAAATTTTTCAACGTGTCGGGCTTGAAGCAGGGCAAGCCACTATCGAGCATCAAAGACACTATGTGAGAAAGTTTGGCGCTGTGCGGCCTCGACGCAAGGAAAGCCTTCACGACCAGCGATTCGAACCAAATGTAGGGCTGAGTACTAGTGGGGCTGTGAGAGCCACTTCCAGACTGGCCGATGCCACTGCCAGAGCCGCCGCTGGGGGAGGTATGTGAGTGAATATTACCACTCATTACAGCAACCATCTCAGATGTCAGTTTGAAAGGCGCGCGCTCGAAGCGCACACCCCCTGGTGCAATATCGAAACAAAACCCGAAGTCAATATGTATGATGTGGCCTGCATCGTCGATCATGATGTTTCCATTGTGCCGATCTTTGAATTGAAGCAAATAGGAGATGACGGAATAAGCAGCCATGCTCTTCACAAAGTTTGTGCGTGCCTCTTGAAACCGTATAGAGTCCTCTCCACCGTACTTAGAGATAAAGTAGTCATATAGACCATTCACAGCTTCACGACCCAGCATATCACGCGAAATTGAATTTGGAAGAACATCGATAACACCACACCCAGGAGCCGTGGAGGTCACTCGGTAAGGGAACACCCATACGTCAAGCCCGACGCTTGCGAATATACTTCGAAAAGCAGCAATCATCTGCAGGGCCAACATGTCTTGACGACAATCGTCGCCAACCTTGAAAATAGCTGATTGCCAGACTTCGTAGGTCTCGTCATTTGACAGACTCTCCCCCGAGATTGACAAATCGCTGCAACGTTGTGCAGGTGAGTGTGTTTCTTTGTGGGTTCCTTGTGCTTGTGTCCGAGTCTTCTGAATTCTGAAGGTCGCCATGTATGGTGCTTTGGCATGACTTTGCAGAGGTTTCCCAGACTTGCGGTCGATACCCACGACAACGCCCTCAGGGTTGCTTGGGAGGTATACTCCGACCTCCACCTTGATCTTGCGAAGCTCTTCTTCAATCTTCTCTTTCTTCTCAGCCTTACTTCTCTTTATATACGGTCGGAGCTTGCCTGAAATGCCAGTAATCTCGTTGAAAAAGGTAAATTCCCTTTCGTAGAATTCACGTTCCTCATTTGTGAAGCTTGCAACCAACGCATCCATAAATCTGTCCAAGGTCGGTTTAAGTGGATCCGGCTGCAAGCAATTGTCAGTCCTCTCATACCCGTGGTTGCTCCATGTTTTATCAACTCACGATCTGCGAATCCTCGTCCTTATAAGAATTTGCCTTCATATTCCAGATAACTTGGTGGGCGAACAATTGAGACAGCTTAGCAGTTTCCAGTATGTAACGTTCGACATAGCCCAGGGAATCGTATCTCAAAGCTTGGACTAGTTGTGGGACAAAATAGAAGCGCACGTCGATGGGATGACTCTCTAGAGCCCTCATTGCATATTGTAGTATGAAGGCGTGATTGCCATAAGCGGGCAAGAAGTAGGTCAAGGCTTCGGTTGGATTGACTGAAGCCCAGTAAAGTAAATACTACTCACGTTAGCTTTACCGAATTGACCAGGGCCAAACGTTGAACTTGCCTTCAGTTGACTCGAGACGTCAGTGGGAAGACTGGTACCGAACATCAGCTCCAGACCTTCAGGCTCGTCAATCGCCTTCTCTGGGAAATTGAGCATCAACCAGCGAACATCATTCTTGAGCTTCGCCGATGGAAATCGGGTTGACAGCT